TTTGCCAGATTGTTTAATTAAATATCCAGAGAACGTCCTCAATCTGATCTGATCTGGTAGACTCATGTTTTAGGATCTGGGCTACTAAAACAAGCTAAAAAGGTTTTGCGTATAATAGCAAACAGTGATGGCCGTGGAAAATGACTGAGATCAAAATCGAACTATTAGTCCCTTGACAGAAGCGCTAAACTCCACCTCCAACCGTGTCTGACACAGTAGCACTGCTAAATGCACATTTGCACTTACCTTCGAGACGTTTAGGCAAATCTATCTTTACTGTCTCTCAACAAATCCTCTATTTGCTGCTGAGCTGGTCTAAAGCTCATTTTCCTATATGGTCTTCAACCTAATGGTGACCTCAAATCAGTGGATTACATTAGGCGGCATCTCAACAGTATTTATGTACTGTAACTCTCACTAAATATAAGCACTAAAGAGTTGATGTTAGAATCTGTGTGTGTTAAAAATAGTCATTTTATAGTATATTATGGTGCAAGGAGATTTGCTCATGAATATTTAGTAAAGCCACGCCCCTCACAAGTCATCCCGAATATTTAAAAGGGGCTCAAAGTTGTATTGTACTATTTATGGTTTCTTTTTGAGTCACGACTTTGTTGCGAATGGCCACCTAACGGTTCTTCAAGAGCGTCTCGATCTACACCCGCGCATGTCTCCTCTCTCTCGTCTAAGTTTCTTCATCATCTCATCCCTCTCGCTTCGGTCTTCCGCAGCTTAATCCTCCCTTTCTGTCTCTTCTATGGTCCCTCACACCCGCGCATTCTTTCTCCACCGCTTCGGGCCAGTTTTATCGCCATGATCGTAACTTAGCGACAGACAGTTTGTCTTTTGATGAGGAACCGTTCTAATCAGAGATTGTCAGCTGGATTGATGAAGAGCTGTTCCATCATTGGTTGGTCCACCTGAACTGATTTATGCCGCCAAAGGCTGAATCATTTTATTCCTGCTGTCTGCTTTGTTACGGAGTAATTAACTGCAGCCCTGGAGTGCCAGTTTGTCATGTATCTAATGTAGTTTTCAGCAGCTGGCTCGCTTTGTTGGGCCGCCACTTTATCGGTTTTAGTTTTGTGCCCCTTGAGAGTCTCTGGCAGTTGACAACAGAATTCATGAAGCTCCGACAAGTGCTTCTCCTCTTAAATAAAGGTTATTTGAGGACAGATCTCTAGGCTGGAATTACAGTCGAGCAGAAACTAAAGCTATTTGTCTTGATAAACAGATACTGAGAGTGAAATAATATTCAAACGTGAAGGATTTTTGGTCTCCAAATGCCTAAATGGTTCTGAAAGATGCGTTTATGCTTTGAATTTTACAGCTCTGAAGTGAATTTGAAGATACACTAGATCCTTCCCTCGTATCCTGTTTAAAATACATCGGATGGACTCTTCATGACTTTGGCAAAGGTTATTAAAGGACCTATTTAAATTTACAGTGGACTGAGCCTGATGGATGGTGCATTATCTGTTGGCCAAACGGACGTGTGACCGTGTTTGACAAATGCCGACACAGCGCTGCCAGCTGAGGCGGGGGTTAAGGACTTAACATCATTTTCACTGTGCCTCTATTAGTTAACGGTCTGTGATTATCAAACGGGCAGCAGAGAGGGGCATTTAGCGTTACGATGTCTCAGGGAGGCCGTAAATGGATCCCACTCTTGAGCCTGCTCTTTCAGGTGTGTATGAGGTGGTCTTGTGAAGGGAAGGAGCTGTTGACATGGTAGAAGTAGGAGAGGCGTAATTACATCTTGCATGAACTTTCTGCAGACGGGACGGATCTCTTTACTCAGGGTGGCACTGAACATCATGACCTGCTTCTCGTGAGGGGTCATACGGGTCATACGCTGGACATCACGCCGCATGTCTGCAGGGGACAGTAAAAGAACAATGCATTTATATTATTAAAATTAATATTTATTTATCATAGCTGTGTTTGGAACAGCATGCTACTCAAACTGTTTCTGAAGTACAGTACATACTAGTGTTAGTATGGATAGTGTGCGCAGAAAACTGCAATGTTTAGATATTTTTATTAAAAACTGAATTAAAATGCAAAGTAGGCCTATTATTTTTTGGTACATAAAACAAAGGTCATGTGACAACAATGGAACCGTAGAATAATGCCTGTTGTTTCACCTACAGCTTTTAAAGAGAAAAGCGTGTGTGTGCTGCACAGAATTCAGTGTAATTTCCTTCTGAACACAGCCATAGTCTCATAAACGGTCTGCTCACCAAGCTGCTCCAGCATCTTGTCGCATTCGTCCAGGATGAAGTGCTTGATGTGGCGCAGGTTGAGACTCTTGTTGCGAGACAGAGCTAGAATGCGTCCAGGAGTTCCCACCACCACATGAGGGCTCTCTCTCTTCAGAACCTCCTCGTCCTTCTTTATAGATAAGCCACCAAAGAACACTGCCACCTGGGGGAGAGAGACAGCACAAGCAAATGAAGGTGAGAAAAGTTTGTGCACAGCAATATTAAAATGTAACAGTTTGTTAGATTTGCAGATCATGACTTCCTTTTAAATTCAACTCCTGGATTTTCAATGACATAGCAAACAAGATTAGAAGAGTATTTCAAGAAACATTAGATGATATAGATAATCTATTGTATTATATTAATGTTTTTTTTTTTTTAAATGCCTCTTAAAATTTTTTTCATTTATATATTTTCATTACATATAATGACATATCTTTAATTTTACAGACCCTAGTGGAAGAACAATTTATTTACATCACAAAATGCCAAATATCAAAATATTGTCTACAGAATAGATTATTTTAGATTATTTTTGGTCCTACAGGCAAAAAGAAAAGTCTTTCAAGGCTGCATTTATTTGATCAAAAATACAGTAAAAACAGTAATAATGTGAAATATTATTACAATTCAAAATAACTGTTTTCTATTTGAATGTATTTTAAAAATGAATTTCCAGCATCATTACTCCAGTCTTCAGTGTAATGTGATCCTTCAGAAATCATTCTAACATTGGGTTGCTGTTCAAGAAACATTTCTGATTATTATCACTGTTGAAAACTGCTTTATATTTTTGTGGAAACTGTGATATATTTTTTTCAGGACACTTTAATTGTCTTTAATAGGACTATATTGTTCAAAGTAACAACATTTATTTTAACTGATCTGTTATTATTACTGTCAGTGACGATCAATTTAATGCATCCCTGCTGAATAAAAGTATTAATTCTTTTAAAGAAAAATCTTACTGACCTCAACATTTTTGAACAGTAGTGTAATTATTAATGTTTTGTTCCAAACGTAGACTAATGAAATTCCTCTGTGATAGAAGAACAGAAGAATGGAAAGAGAGGCAATTTTTACATCTGTCGCAATCTCTTCTACTACAGTACAGATCAGAAGAGATTTTAAAAGAAAGTAGTCCTCATATAGCCTGCTTTAGTAAACCTGAAACATATGAACTAAAGCTTTCCTAAAATTGTAAATTTGTCTTCTTACCTTGACACTGGGCATGTATTTGGAGAAGCGCTCGTACTCTTTGCTGATCTGGAAGGCCAGCTCTCGGGTGTGACACATCACCAACACTGATACCTGGGTAAAAGCAATCACTGGTCAACCCCAAAAATTGTGGAATGGCACATAAAGCACACTCAGAGATATCATTTTATTTATGTCTTTGTTCTTTGTTTTCAAACCCTTTAAAAAGATTGCCATTACCTGCCCGGTCACTGGCTCCAGCTGCTGAAGGGTAGCCAACACAAAGACAGCCGTCTTCCCCATTCCAGACTTGGCCTGACATAATACATCCATCCCCAGGATCGCCTGAGGAATGCATTCATGCTGAACTGGAAGAGAAAAAAAACACACACACACACACACACACACACACACATATATTTAAATATAATATGTCAAACTGCTATTCTGAAAGCAAAGAACCTTATACGAGCACATGTTGAATTGCTCACCTTCAGATGGATGTTCAAAGCCACAGTCCACTATAGCTCTCAGCAGTTCTGGTTTGAGAAGGAAATCTCTGAATCCTGAGGAGTGGATGGACACATATGACCCTTTGACCCCTTCTTTCCTGATGGCTATTCCACCATCGTTGTGTCCAAGTCCTGTGTCTCCGACACCACCTGCATCAACCTCATCCTCCTCATAGTCCAACAGCTCGTTCTCAACGTCGTTCTCCGTCATCCTGTGGAGAGAGTGGGAAAAGACCCATACATCATTTTCACCCATACAATGTATTGTTGGCTATTGCTACAAATATACCCGTGCAACTTATGACAGGTTTTGTGTGTATATATATATATATATACACAGTAGTCAACATATATATATATATATATATATATATATATATATATACACACATTCATTTTATTATATTTGATAACATGATTATTAACACGCACCACACATACACGTTATCAAATATACTAAAAAATACTATAAACTCTATATACATTTTAATTGATGACATAATTATTCATAAGTAACAATACATCATAAATTACATTAGAATTAAAACTGCGTGTTGTTTTACTCGACTTGATAACAGACCATACATACTTATACTGTAGCTTATCAACCATTCTTAAGACAAACTATTAAAAATAAAATCCCATTCTCTAGTATTACAACTGCTAAAAATGAACATTCATTTAAAGCTGTTGTTTTATGTTAATTAATAGGCGAGTAATTAAGGGGGCAGGTCAAACTAGCAAACTATACTAAATATATTAGCGTTAGCTCAAGAGATACAGCGGGCCATACGCTGACTATAGCGCAACATTCCCGTGTGTTTTCAGAACCGACTATGATGTCTGTTATCACTTCCAGTGTTATTTTGATGTTGTATATAGTACTAAATAATCGCAGTTACCTCGAAACACTGTATGAAGCAGTTGAACTGCACTGCACCTGCTGGATAGGCTGGCGACGGCGTCATCAATCCGCGACGAATACGTTTCGATGGAGGACCCAACATGTGGAACTGCATGAACTGATTATAGACAAGAAATCTGGTCATTGTTATTGAAACTAGCGAAGATATTGCACGTTTAAGGCCGTTGTGTTTGAGCTTTAATAAGTGAGTTCTGTTCATGTGGATGGTTTTGTTTTGAACTCAGCGGCTGTAGTGTGTAAATCTCTGTGTTCTTTTTTCAGAAATGTCATGTTTTAGTGGTGATCTCAACTTTTGCCCGGAATGTGGGAATATTCTTCCAGTGCCTGGCAGGGAAAATACCATTACCTGCCCACGGTGCTCTTTCAAAATCCCTGTTCGAGGTGAGAGAGTATAAGTTATTGAATATTTTGTATATGTCACCACACCCAGCAGCAGAGGTTTATGGTACATCAGTAAGTTTATGTTATAATTTAGCAGTAGGATTCTCTCTCAGAATTCACAGGTCAAGTTATTAAATCATCAGTGGTGTTTAATCCTCTGGATCAGATCTCCAGCACTGTTGACAGCGAAGAGGCTGCTGAATTGAAGGGGCCAGTGGTAAGTTATTTCAAAATACAGTGATTGATTCTTACATATTATTGGTTCTGTTTGGAATATCACCCAATAGACATTTGACCTGTTTCTCATTGTCCACAAACTTTCCATCAGATTGACAGGAGATGTTCCCGCTGTAATAAAGAAGGGATGGTTTATCACACAAGACAGATGAGATCTGCAGATGAAGGACAGACGGTCTTCTTCACATGCATACACTGCAGGTCATTTACATGTTAGGCTCTTAAACACACCCTTATTTTGACCATTTATACTTGTTCCAGTAGGTTGTTCTGAATGTTGTTTAGACATTGTATTAAGTGATCATTAGATCTATATGTGCTCTGATGGCAGACATTTTTCATTTGATTTCTCTGTTGCAGGTTCCAAGAAAAGGAAGATTCGTGAGAAAATTGCTGCTGCTGTTGGCATTTGCATTGATTTTTTATCAGAATTTAAATAGTATGAAATATTAAAAATGCTTTGTACATGTTTTCAAAATAAATAAAAAAAAAGAATGTGTGTGGAAGTGATTTTTTTTTTTGCAGGGCTAATTTAGAATTTATATTATATAGTTTACGTTAATTATACACAATAAAACATGTCTTTAAAACACCATATATTACATATGTTATATAAGAAGGTTACGAAGAAGTAGAGTTTACCGAAAAGTCCCGCCCCACGCACGGCACGTTAGCCAATCAGAATGCCCGTTTAGGCGGTCACGTGATCATTCAACATGGCTTCTTGCTATCAGTACTGAATGCATACATTAATTGTTGTGAAGAAATAAAATGATTAACTTCATTTAATGCACTCTTTTGCGCTCCCTGACGCATGTGAAACAAGGTAAGCCTACTGACTGTATATTAAATATATTTTAAAGCGAAAAACACTGCAATTCTGTAATCAGTAACTGCACGCAACAATAAGCACAATGATACATTATTAAATATCGTCTTCACTGTATTCGTTGCTGTTTATTTTGTTTATATAACTTATAGCCATTGAATGTGCTCTAACGCCTCATTCCTATGTGCAAAAAATGTTATGTACAATATGATACTGCTCATGTATTATATATGAACAGTATGGCGCTGTGTTTATCTCTCACCATGGCCTTTCATTACAGTAATAAGTCATAACGCAAGTCATCCTTTGCCTCCTCATTCTCCTGTGTAAACAGATGAAGCTTCGAGTCCAGCTGCAGTGCAAGAACTTGCATGAATATCTAAAGGAATTGAGTCCAGAGATCCTCGACAGGCTCTACAATCACCCAGCAACATGCCTGGCAGTCTACAGGTCCATCTGGCTTTAGTCTTTAAATATACATGCATATTTACATGTATGAATGTCATTTGATTAGATACTACAAGTGGCATTTATTAAAGAGAGAGAGAAGAAGAATGCACAACCTACTTTTCAAGCCAACAAAATTTTTACCTAAAAGTATATAATAGTTCTAACACATATTTTTTAAGGTGCCACTTGTTTTTTTTTTTTTTTTTTTTATCTAACAACATTCATACATTTTATATGTGCCTTAATTGTCCCTAGTATGCCTATTATTATAATGCTAAAACTTACACAATGGTTAATGCTGATTGGCTCACTCTCATTCATTTTCAAACAGGGAACTTCCATCACTGGCAAAGAATTATGTGATGCGGATGCTGTTTTTAGATCATCCACTCCCGCAAGCTGCAGTCGCGCTGTGGGTTAAAAAAGACAGTCAAAAGTAAGTACAATAGTTAGTTCTATCATTCTAATACAAATTGGGGTAACATTTTATATTAAGGTGTCCTTGTTACACGTTACATGTATTTACTATAATAATAATAATAATAAATTATGCATAATTACAACCTTAAACCAAACCCTAACCATATAGTACGTACATGTAGTTAATTAATATTACTCAGTACTTTAATGTATAATTACACTGTAACAAGGACACCTTAAAATAAAGTGTATCCCAAATCGGCATATTAAAATGATTTCTGTAGGATCATGTGACACTGGAGTAATGGCTGATCAAATTCAGCATTGCCATCACAGTAATAAATTATAAAATATATTAAAACAGAAAACAAGTTCTTTTAAATTGTAATAATATTTTGGAATATTACTATAAATGGAGCCTTGGTGAGACTTGCAAATGCCCGGTCTCCTCTGAGTTAAAATTTTGTTCTTGGAACCACTAATATTCCCTGATTTGATGATCTCAAGGACTTCCCTGGGTCATATTCCAACAAAAGATCAGTAAGGTAAGAAGGTGCCAAGCCGTTTAGAGCTTTATACACCATTAATTTTAGAGATAAATGACAGTTTAGAAACTGGTCTAAAATTTTATAAAATTGTAGGGTCTAAATTTGGCCGTTTGAGGAGTGGTTGTTTCAAATAATCAGGTACAATTGCTGTTTCTAGACATTTATTTGTAAATGCTAGAAGATTGGGCCCTATCGAATTTAAAAGGTGTTTGACAAGGCGAGGAGGAATTACATCAAGTGAGGAACCAGTGGGTTTCAGCTTATTTACAATTTCCTGCAACGACGAGAGAGAAATTACTGTAAATTGATTAAAAACAGCATGACATACAGGAGGCACAGCTGGATCAGATATTACAGGCATAATATTCGATCTTATGTCTCTTATCTTATTAACAAAAAATTGCAAAAAGTTTTCACACATAATTTTTGACTCGCACTGATGGGGCAAACTAATAGCAGGATTCACTACAGCATTTATAGTTTTAAAAAGAGTTCTTGGATTATTACAATTTATTTCGATGAGGTCAGCAAAGTATTTGGACTTTGCTGATCTCATAGCCCTTTGAAATTTAGAGAGAGCGTCCCTTAGTAGTTCGTAGGAGACCTGTAGTTTATCTTTCTTCCATTTCCTTTCTGCTCTTCTACACGTCCGTCTAATCTCCCGAACAGCCTCACTTTCTTATAAATGTATGTGTTTCTTCGCTCTTCCTAGAGACCACGATCAGTGTGTGTCAGTGTTAACTGGGCTACGGCTCTGGCACAGTCAGCACCTTCAAGGTGGACTCCAAGGCTTTGTGCTCAACCCTGTGTTTAAAGACAACCTGAGAATAGCACTTCTAGGCGGGTGAGGAACACAGTTTGGATTAAGAACTGTATTTAATGTCGTGGAAGCAGATCTACTAGACTAATGTTCACTTTGTCAGTGGTAAACCGTGGGCAGATGAAGGCGGCAACCTGGGCCCCGATCGTCACGCAAGGGATGTCGAAAGTCTCGACCGCTATGCTATGGAGCGTTGGGAGGTCATCCTTCACTTCATGGTGGGCTCTCCCAGCGCAGCCGTCAGCCAGGATCTGGCCCAGCTCCTCATACAGGCCGGGCTCATGAAGAGGTAGAGCACACCATCACTGATGCACCAACTAAAGTAGGTCAGACATGAAGGTCTTGATCTGTTTTTTCCTTTCTCAGCGAGGCTGGCGATGCTCCTTGTATCACATCAGCAGGGTTTCAGTTCCTGCTGCTGGACACAGCATCTCAGCTGTGGTACTTCACCCTGCAGTACCTCAAAACAGCGCAGGTCAGTGCAGGACATATAGAGTCTATACAATAAAAGACCAGATTTACTAACGGCTTGCACCAGCACAAACCCACTTTTGGCTATTAAAAAGCTACTGTCAGGATTTACTGAAGACTCACAGTGAAAAATGAACGATGAAAAGCTGTGGACACATTTATTTTTGAGGCTGAACTTATTGCATGTGCATTTGTTGGAGTTTCCCTTTCAGACACAACATCTATGAGAGGAGAATATTTAAATAAATCATACTAAGGATTGCGGTAGTCAAATTACTGTTATTTGTTATTATCTATTATCTTAACCCCAAAAATGCATTCAAATATGTGAATTTTGTTTGGACTACTTTGGACCCAAAGAATCATTGTTTTGTACAGCAGTAATAACATATTATTTTTCAGCTAAAACCATACTGTATTTATTCAGTAACTTCTTATTAATGAATCAAGGTCAAAACATTTCAGTTTTCATTTATTACTGCATTTACCCCCTTTTAATTAATTAAAAAATTGGGAAAGTCTAAAATTACGCATGATTACACATTAATTAAAAAATGAGAAAATGTGTGTATATATATATATATATATATATAT